CCATGACCGCGTTGCTGAGATGAGCAGTCCCCCGGTCGCTGTGGTGAGAGAAGTACCGAAGAGGGGACAGGGCGCCTGGCAGACGTACACTGTGGGGGTGACCGGGGGACAGGTTGAGGCAGTGGTGACTGGGAAAGAGGATGAGAATAAGGATTGGCAGCCACTGCGCATCAATGTATCATATGAGAATCTGAAAGATGAAGCTGGATTGTACTGTAAAAACGGAAATGAAAAGAAAAAGAGTTTTTGGACTGGGAATAATGAGCAGTGTAAAGATGAAGATGTTATGGACGAAAATAAGAAGAATGAACTCATCGATAAGATTCTCCCTGCGGCCATCAAATTACACACCGATCGTCTCCTCGTTAAGCGAGTGAAAACACCCTTGAAAGAACTAACAGTTGAAAATACAGAAATTTGTTCTCACTTCGCAATTCCAACGGTAGAAGGCAGCGACAAACCCAAGGTCGACAAAGTGAAGTTGTCAGAGTCTGATTTCTTGTTGTATGTGGCTACTGGTTCCAGTGGAAATAATGCACCTTCTTCCTGGGCTCTCACTTGTGCTGTTGATACTGAAAGTAAACGTCCAATCGTTGGTGCCATGCGTGTCAACCCAAAGATCATTCTCGCTGGAAAGGGTATCGTGCGCCTTCTTGCACATGAACTTGGCCATGCTCTTGGATTTGACTACGAGAGAATGAGGGAGCGTGGGATGATAACTTTCCGCAACATTCGAGGCGAAAATCTCACAGTGGTGAATTCTACTAATGTACTGATGAAGGCGAAGGAACATTATAACTGTGAAACCATGGAAGGTGTGGAGTTGGAAGATGACAATAAAGAGTATTTTACGGGACCAAAATGTACACACTGGGCGCAGCGGTACGCCAAGGATGAATTGATGAGTATCACTCAATATACTTCAGTTTTCGAAAATATTGGGTACTACACTGCACTGACAATTGCAGCATTTGAAGATATGGGTTTTTATAAAGGAAAATTTGNTGGGTCCGTGTTCTGCGCGTAATGGGAACAATGGTGATATCAACTTCGTTTCTCTAACGGAACTTGGATTTTGTACAGAATTATTTAACGAGTTTAATGGGCTTGGTGGACCGAATTCATGGTGTTTGGATGCTGACTCTCTTGTGAGACACAAAAGTGGTGAGAATTCGACTTCCTCTTTTGTCTGTGGAGAGGTGAGGTGTAACACAGGATTTGTCGAAGTGCGGTTTGATAAAACTAAAGAAGAGTGGCATACGTGTGATGAGGAGGATCAAACCTTTACGCCGAATATGGCAGCTGCCTACAAATATGTGAGTGGCAAGGTCAAATGTCCAAAGTACTCTGAAGTGTGCACTGTGGGTACCAACGGAAGCAGTCTTATCACTGTCAATA